TTCACATTCCACATACAAATTCATGAAAACCTACGTTTTTTAGAACTGCGGTTCCTAACCTCCACATCTCCAGACTCAAATCGTCTAGCAAAATCCTCAGCCACCATAGATGCAGAAGCAGCTTTCTTCTGCAAAGCAACACGCTTAGTCTTAGCTGAAGCAATAGCAGCCGCCTCTTCACCATCCCCGCTGCTTCCACCACCCCCATCACCAACAGGCGCTTGTGGGGGCGGAGCAACATTAAGTTTGGGCACCTTAACCTGAATTGTGGCAGGTTGTTTGGCCTTAAGACCCCATGGGTCCTTGAGAAACTCCTCAAGTTTAGTCAAATCACTGAAGAACTCATTTTTACGCTTTGGAAACCCATCTGGGCAGAAGCAGATCTTTCGACTGCACCAAAAAATGCCAAAACACTCAATTGGGTCAGAAATTCAAAAGAAAACAACAAAACACAAAACCAAGAACCCGATTTCACATCCATCGATAAAGATAGAGATAGATAGCAGATCCTCTACCTACACCACAAAAACTCCAAAAGCCACATCTAAAAACGCTCAATGGGTCATATAAACCCCAGTAAACAACTTAAAACCATAAAACAAAGAACCCCATTTGGATCCTTGGCGGCTTGGCCTAGATAAGAGAGAGTAGAGAGAAAGAGAAAAAAATAAACAAAATTATAAACAAATAATACAAAAATAAAAGAATGTAGTACCAGGTAAATGGGCATGCTGTGTGAAAGGCCATACGCGAGATAAATTTTTTTGTGTATGAGGAATTTTTCAAGAGCTTAAATTGGGGAAAAGCTCATTTGGGGGAAAAGAGAGAGAGAGAGATAAAAGGGGATGGGCGTGACTTCTGAGGTGTTTGGGGATACACAATTTTGTTTATAAGGTGAAGCAAAATTCACATTTGGCCCATTGAAGTTTTCAAAATGTTGATAGAATCTATGATTGTTTGTATAGTAGTGGCAAAAAAGGGAAAAAAGAAAAGGTTTTAAAAAGGAAAGAAGAAAAACTTTCAGAAAAATACTTATGGTCACTGAGAGTAGATTTTCAAAATTTATTTAACCATAAAATTTGATCAGATTTAGAAAATCTGATTTTTAAAATATTTTCAAGTTCCCACCAATTATGGGTTTTGGGGGACATGGCTTCTTCTCCGAGCTAACTGGTCATGCAATATGCTTCTAGTTCATAGTTACAAGTTATTGTCAGCTCTCTAAGATCTACTTGAAAGTCCAAGCAGTTACAAGGTCGGCAAAGACCTGCTTGGAAATATATTATAAAGAAACTAAAGGAGCTCAATTTTGATGATTTTTTTGAAGCAAGGCCGGGACATAAATTAGGAGTTGTAACCCACAAGACAAGAGAAAGAAGGCACAAATCAAAATATTAATCATTGAAGAATTGAATTTGATTCTCATTTCCTGTGAGGAAAGGAAAGTTTGAAGAGCTTACATAGTTCATTGTATGAGTCATGGTCATCAAGTCCAATTCTGCATTTGACACTCACAGGAAGATTTGTATTTGCAGCAATTATGCACATGGACGCAGCATACAATTTTCCTTGTAGAAGTTGTGCATATGTCCGAGCAACTATACAGAAAAATAATATATTTGATGTATCAAGCAAGGAAATCTTAACCTACGGATCAAGCATGAGAGCACACCAAAACACCCATGTCCAGCGACTCTGGGGTTAAGACATCCGCAACTGTTAAATAAACCAGAAAAAGTATCAGTTATGGGTCTAAATAAAAGCTAGAAACTTATATTTTAGATAGGAAAAGCAGAGCGAACTTAAAATTAATTTCATCATAGCCATATGGAGTTGCCAGTTGTGTCGCTTTGGCCAAATTCTTCAAATGATTTCACCCAATTTGCAGCACTATAGGATGTTGCTCAGGGCCATATGCCAAGAATCTATCCTGGTATATTAGAAAAATCACATAAATGTCAGATTTCACTGCACAATAGAAACACATAAGCATTAGTCAGTGACAAGGTGCTCTTAAAGGTCCATGCCGCAAGCGCAATAACATATCAGTACAAGAAAGTTCCTTTTGAAGATCTACCCAGGTTAAAATAATATATCATCTAGGTCCCTTCTTTGCCACGCATTTCACAACAAAGAAATAAATATTCCTTTTTTAGGAAACCATCTAACTGGGACAAGGGTCTTAGTTTAGGGAAACAAAAATGACCAACCAATTTGGCTAACTTGGCCCTTGAAAGACAACCCAAAGATTCTATAGTAATTGATATAAAAACAGTACGATTCATCGATTTAGTAAATCAAATGCAAGTGTCAGGTGCCATCTATAGAAGTGTTAACTGTAAGCTTCTCTTTGTAGAAGGTCAGTTTACATCATGTAGAAAGTAGGCATATAACCACAGAGACATACACCCACTATTTCCTTTTATCATGAAAATTGGGGCTGGCAGCAAGAGGATCAAGATTAAAGAAAGTAACTTTTGACTATTTCACTGTCTCATGACTTAAATTTTGATTTCTGCACATTCAGTGAAAATTTTAACCGGTACATTTGAGTTAAATTATTGTAAACGAGTTTGAATCCTCTGTAATTGTGAGCCTTCACATACTATATAGCACATATATGTTCATCTCTTTCTCATTTCTTTTTGTTTAGAATAAGAACAAAGGATTAACTCGCACGATTCTCTCTTTTTTGCTTAGCTCTACTCATCAGTGAGAAACAGAAAGGTACTTTATGGTTGGGTAGAGAAGCACTAGAGTCTTACTCCATGCAGCAGAACTTTACCAAATTGCCAGTCTGGTAGACAATTCTGTGTAGAGCCACGCCTTTTTTTGAGATAAGGCGAGCCAAAGTTCTGTAATGCTTATCTGTGCAGTCCATCATGGGGGGCAACACTGTTTAAATACAAAGGCTTATAAATACTAGGGAGCTCTTTTTATTATTCTTTTAAGTAAGAAATATTAGGGAGCTTATTAACTTTGTAAAGAGAGAAAATTAGACTTCTGTATGCACACAACTGAACCAAGGAGGAGCGTCTTTCTTGAACTTTCATAAAAGAAGTTTGATGACCCACAGATTTCTTCTTCCCTCTTATGAACCTTTCCATTGGATAGAAATAGGTATCACACAAGAGGACATGATATATGCCACACGCATTTTGAAACATTTACACAAATAGATAATTAACTGAATAAATGAAGACCTAAATCCACCTAGTTCAATATACACCAAAAACAATATTTGGATCATTAGATTAAGGACGAACTGCCAGGAACTGGAAAATTGATATACTGGCTCAACTAATTTTTTTTTAAAAAGGACCAGAACAAACAGAAATTAGGGAACTCAAGAACGAAACAAGAAAAACTAAGAAGCTTAGGGTTTAGGGTTTTACATGGAAGCAGAGAGATGATGCTGCAGCTACTTCTGAGGCGAATTTAGTGGCAGTTGGAGAAGACAAAACCATAGCTACAATGTTGCCTCTAATCTTTTTCTCTCTTTTTTCCTCTCTTGGTTAAAAATCAATAATGGTAATGTTAAATAAGGTTCTACGGTTGCAAATCTATTTTTCAAAGTTAATTCAATTTATTAGTAGGTTAATTTGAAATTGAACAATATATTAGTCTCTCTCTGTATATAATATGAATGAATAATATAATGTATTTACTTAATGATCTATATTATACAACACATTATCAAAATGAGACTATATCATATCAAGCAATTTCTTACAAAATTTGAAGGTATCTACTTTGTTGTTCTTAACTAATGAGAACTTTTTCAAAATGTGAATTTATTGTTTTGGATATATTTGATGCTGAAATTCATTTTACTATGATGGATCTTGTAGACACAATCAAAGAAAATAATCATGTATCAAATTAAGATAATGTCAAAGCAAACGTATTTCTTTGCCATCATCTTGATTGGGGGGCTTTAAAATGAAATATTTCATTGTTAAAATTATCTTTATAATGTTAAATAATCTAAAAGATGATATGATCATAAGAAGATGATGTTTCTTGCCGAAGTACCTTTTAACTGGATCAATTTAAAGCTGCAATTTTTAAAACCTATTTATAAGTATAGTTTTTCATTGTTTAAAATTATTTCACAGTTGAAATTTATGATGAGAATATCACTAACAATGATGTACTGGAAATGCAGGAATGCGTTTCTGCAACTATATCGAGAGATGTGGTTCAAATAATATTTTGGACTAATTGCACATTTTTATTGTGGCACGGATAAAATAACTAATTATAAATATGAAGCTAAAAAAAAGACAAAAATCAACCTACTGGTTGTAGTTCTTTTCCTTTAGTGAATAAGACAATTTTTCATCAAACTAAGCGTAGAAAACGTTGTGATCACAATCGTTATAATGACCTTAGTAGTGCTCATTGTCATAGATGAAGGAAGAGCTCTAACACACTAACATTCACCATCAATAGTGGAAAAAAGAACGACCATAATATAACTTATGTAATATTATTATATGAAAATATAAACTTATGCGGAAGAAAAAGCCTTGTTTTCAAACCTTGCAAAATAGCTAGTACTAGCATACGCACATAAAAATAACGATCCTAATTCGTCATGTTTCTGGTATTGTATCTAAAAATCCTTCTAGTTTGAATTTACGATCGAGGGACACTAATAAACTAATACAGTGATACAACGTGAGTTGTTCTATCACAGATATACTACTAATTTCAGCATGTTGTATATTGATACAACATGAATTTAAAAAAATAGCATCAATGACATAACACAAATCTTGATACTAATAATTAGCCAAACTTTCACTATGTTTGGTAACTAGGGATTAAAGTGCCTCTGTTGTGAAAATTACTCTTACATGTACCCTCATGGGCCCATACCATAGACACAAATTGTGTCCCAAGTGCCTCAAATGATCTGTTGCCTAAGTCCTCAAGCTGATTATATCTAATGGAATTTACCGTAGTATCATGGTGATTTCTGTCAATTCATATTGAAAAGAGCTCAGCTGGCTATAATATATTTATTATAGTATAACAACGACATCTACTCTGAGTTAATACCAGTAACAGCAGAACTTTCTAATCTCTAGAAATTTTACATTGAAACGGTAAACCCAACAAGATTAATTTAAAGTGCCACCAAAAGGCTCAAAAAACTGTGTTCAACCTCTGACCAGAAAAGAGAATCTATAAACTGGGAAACGAAAGGTGACAATAAAACAGAACCAAACCAATGCCTACATGGAAATCCAGAAACCAAAGGTTAGATAAGTTGCAGAAAACACGCAATGCAGGGTGCAGTAACCTTGAGGAACAACTCTGGGAATCAATAGTTGCCCATGCTCTTGTCATCCAAAGTCGCAACATACGCTGCATCTAATAACCAATTTTAATAGCAGTCAACAGTCTTGCTTCGGAGATATTAAACGTATTCCTTGCTTTCCAAGGTCCAAGTTCTTCGGCTTCCCATCATCAAGAGCAACAGACACAACAGATGAGCCTTCAAAGACTTCTACGACAGTCCCTCTATGCCTGAAAAAGAAAACAAATTGAAAGGTCAAACTAGCACACCTCAAGGAAAGTGTGGTACAGATTTATATGAATGCTCTTCCACAATTTCATATTTAAGAATCAGCAAGGAAGCCACGCTAGTTAAACACCCAAATCAAACTTCTAACTATAGACAATGAGTTCCTTTGATTTATCCTACTATATCCTTAAGTTCCAATGCAATTCACTAGCTCTAGCTTCTATTTATTGCCCTTTACTCATTGCTATCATGATTACTAATCCAGAATATCACAGCACTCATTTCCATTTAAGTTGCATAAATTTTAAGTATGCAGATTAGTCAGCTTGATGTAACAATAAACTTACCAGGTATTATCAAACGGATGATGAAATTCCACTCTCTTTCCTTTTGCATTTTGTCCCAACTTCTGCAATATCCAGTTATGATCCGAGAAGTCATCCATTGTATTGTCTTCATATCGCTGTGATGAATCATCATCAGACCTGGTTGATGCTTTTTCTTCAAAAGTTGGTACTCTCTTTCTTGTAGACTTCTGGCCCTTAACCATGCTTTTCTCCTCCTCTCCTGGAGACGCCAATGCATTTTGAGTTTCATGGTAAGGATTCTTGAAATTGAGCCTTTGGAGAGGTTTTGGATCCTTTCTCGGTGATTTAGATAATGAAGGTGAGATATTTTTCTCTTCATTCAGGTCATCACAAGAAGCAGGCCCAGCTTCGGCATGCTTAACAGAAGTCAATTTGTTGTCCCTTGTAGCAGGAACTTCAGCTCCAGCCTTTGTAATAACACTACCGTTATTGCTTCTTTTTCCTAAGATACCAGAAGTCTTGAGTCGAGAATAAGGTCCAGATCCATCGGCAAATCTTCCACCAACTTTGGCAGGGAAATGAGTAGCTTCTGAGCTAACTTTCTTGATCTTTATTAAGTTACTTTCTTTTGACACAGAAATGAGAGCCAAAAGAAAAGTTACTAATGGAATATTAAAAATATGCTCCTAAAACCAACAAATACAATCTTACCTTCTATACCGGCCCCAACATAAAAATAAACAAGTTACAACAGGTCTTACCTGTTCCACCACCAAGTTTAGCTGCAGTGTCATTCCTTTCTGAGTTTTCATTCTCTCTCAGCTGAACCCAATCCTCATTACCTGATACACAAAGAAGTACATATAAGAATATATTTCGATAAGGTAAATAATTTTATTAACGTGAAATTCTCCCATATACAAGAGTTATACCAAAAAGTAGAGAATCTACACCATATAAGAACAGGAGTATAGAGTATTGAAGCTAATTATTCTATCTCAAGAGATTTTATGGACTTGATCAAGCAATCTAGATATTGAATTGAAAGAATTTTAGGGAACAACAGATGCAAGAGCGCATCCAGAAGTCGAATTATAAATAACAATTAGGAAATAACAGAAGTATTGCCACCTATCCATTTCGACAGTGTGTGTGGAGGTGGGTGTTAACATCAGAAAATAATAATAATAGCATGAAATTTAATCACTTTAGGTTATTTTAATTTATTTTTTTCTGGGTCATCAGCAGCTTTCGGACTCTTCAGCTGCAAGTACTCACACAGAGGAAAAAATATGAATTATAAAAAGAGAACTCCTCTGTTTTATGCCGGTGTGTATCCATTAAGACATCAAAAGTAGTTTCAGCATCTTGAAAAAAGGAAGAAGTCTGTAAGTGAGATGTACATCAGTGCTACTCTTTCAAGATTTGTCAAGATCATAAAAAGAAAAAAGTTTTAAACTACTGGCTTACACTTTTATCATTGTTTAATTAATATTAACATTGTATTGTTAAACTTTGAGAACATGACTTAAAATCCCCCATTGCTTTACTTTCAAAAGAATTTCCACCTAAGTCATGAAGAAGCAAAAAGAAAGAAAAAAAAATAACAAACATCAGATAACGTGATGACCAAAGCACACATTCCAAATATGCCAAATAAGCAGGCTAATTATCCAAGGAAAGGAGAAGAAATATGCAGCATAAGTTTACATCCACTCAAGTATTTCTCTTACAAGAAAAAGCATTGCAAGAACGTACATTAAAGATACTTTTGACTTGTACTTACAAAAAGCAACCCAAGAATCACGGTACTTTATGATATTCCTTAGCCAATTTATATGTCCTTTCTATATAACCAAGTATATTAGAGTTACTTATGACTTCTACTAACAAAAAGCAACCCAAGAATCACAGTATTTAATGATATTCCATAGCCAACTTATATGTCCTTTCTTTATAACCGAAAAATCCTAGAGGGCCAGTGACATAAGGTTCAAAACAGTGGGGATAATGAGCACACCCATCTACCCTTCTTCACTTAAATATCAGGCTTTTGTCGGCAGCAGGGTTTCACCCATGACATGATCTTAATCCACATATCACGCGATGCTCTCTTACCACTTAAAGCCCTAGGACAACTTATATATGAATTCCTTACCAATCATAGATGAAAATCTCAAAGAAATAATAATGCACAGAGGAAAACTATAATCATCTTTCTCAATGGCGCAACCTTTTGTCTGGATGAGATAACAATTTTGAAAACCGTAGCTTTTGTGTCATAAGTGATGCAAGCAAGTACAAAAGCATATTTACAGTCATCAAACTCTACAGAGAAGCCATAGTTTTAAAAAAAAAGATTCATGCAAGTTAGAAAATGGAAAGAAAGAAGAACCCAAAGACGACATATAGAATTTTTTTTTACCATTTGGCCCCTTGGAGGTCTTTGGCATGCTTGTTTGAATCCCAACATCATCCCCATCCAAATGCTGAGGCTTGCTACCATTCCTTTGGACTGTCCTCTTACCCATGTTTCCAGTAACCTCATCTATAAATTTGTGCTTTATGACCCCTGCCTCATTAAATGAACATATACCTTCTGTTAAGCTACCAACAGGAGAAGAAAAGCTATTCAGTTCCCCATAAGCCTGCAATTCATCATTCTTGACATCACCAGCACTATATCCACCAGATGGAGCATCAGGATGTCCTTCATTTTGTCCAGCTAACCCCTTCTCCTTACCAGAAGCTTTTCCACATTCCTTGCTCTTTTGGGGAGATTTGTCAACTAAACCTTTAAGAGAAAACTTTAAGGATTGTTTATGTTGAGTTTTTACTAGAGGAGCACTATTTTCATCCTCTGAAAAGGGTGAAATAGAAAATATTTCATCATCTACAGGCAACCCAGCTCCTGCCCTCAAACTTGCAATTAAATCCCTATCAGCTACATCTCTCCTCTTCCAAAGCTCCTGAACAGCATTTGTAAGATTTATCGACTGAGAACATCAAAAGAGAATTATCAGGATAGAGTTCTCGATTAACTTTTCTAGTGAAATTAATCACTGCCATAAACACACCTTATAACTATATCCGCGGCATGTTGGACATGAATACGGCAAATCATCCACTTGAAACTGCAAATATTTTTCATCACTGCAAAGTAAATACCCATTTTCAAATTAAAACATCCAATGGAGTCCCTCTCTCAAAGCTTAAGCGGAAGTACAATCGAAGTTGCATAAGTTAACACCTTTATATCGCATGAATGACAGGTGAACAAATTGGCAAACCACAAATATGTCAAAATATTTATATAGTGAAGGGAAGAAGAGAGCTATCTGGAAATTAGAACTAGCGCCCTGTCAACTGACTTGAATCTTAACAACGCAGAATGCAGCATAAACAGCAGTCCCAAAATGCCATTCGATCATTCAATGAAACAATAAACGTCAATTGGGAATGATGGGACTATTCTTGGAAACACTGTTCTTAATTCGAGTTTAAGAAAGCGAAAAAAGTCAAAGTTCAGTGTTTCTTTTGTTCAATTAAATTTTATATGTACTCATTAATTCATTTCAATAATTATTCCAGGAAAAAGATTCATTTCGATAACTATTCCAGGATATTTTTTCAAATTCTTCATTTAAGAAATAAACGTAAATCTTCTGAATTGCTCCAAAAAGAAATAACTCAAATATAACAAAAAAACTTTTCTATATAAGAATCAAATATAATTGATCCATCCATTTGCCATCTATTTCCAATTTCATCTAGTCAATGCAAGACTAACAAGCCAACACATTATGTCATCTGGCTTTAACTGTGGTAGTTTGAAATCAACATTTGGAAAATATTTTATTACAAAGTACAAACAAGGGAAAAGTCACACAAATACCGTATAGTTGTTCACATAAGTCATTTACATATTGATACTTTACAGGTGACCTCCTACTCCTTATTCTTATTTTAAGTTGAACTATTACCCCCCTTCTCAAGAGAATACCAAATTTATGTAGAAGTGTTATTATACAAGTGCCTGACACGTGTATAATATATATTTTTTTTAAAATTCAACTTATTAGTCATTATTTTTTTTTTCACATTTTCCCCTTCTTCTTCCTTCTTTTTCTACTTCATATTATTTTCAATTTAGATGGTCCTTTGTGGCTTTGGTGGTGACTAGAATAATGCATTATTAAGTTCAATAATGAGATGCACCACACACAAAAACCATGACTCATAATTCAAAGGGCTTCTGATAAAAACCGAGGTTTTTTACGGGATAAAAGCAAGAGAAAATACAAAGAGAGACACAAGTATCTTGTATCTCGTAGAACAATAGAAAATAGAAAACATAAAGAGAGACAAGTATCTCGTTTCTCTTAGAACAACCTTTTCTGCATATAAAAGCTATACTACCACATGTCTACTTATTACTACATTTCCTATTATATAATAGATAACTATAACTACTTCATAACTATTTAGGATAAGGATAGATAACTTCTAGCAACCATAAGAAACTGTCAAATTACTACTAATAATTGAAAGAAACCGCTCAATGCTCCATGGGTGGAACCTCCAGGAATTTGAGAAGATGCAAATCATTATCTTCTCCTAACTTTCTTTGCTTCTTCCTCCTTGAATAAGTATGGAAGATGCGTGCCTTATCAGCTTCTTAACAAGGTAATTCTGAGATAGATAGCTCCAAAAAGGACAAAAGGAAGATCACCAGAATTTAATTTTCCAGCGAAGATGCAATTTTTTTATCATAGCTTTTGAATCTTGTTTTCGATATTTCAAGATAAAGATCTGAAAAGGTCGTTTTGTACAATATTTAAGAAAGAGAGAATACCCACCTCGCCAGAAAACATGATGGCCGACAAACAAATTTTCTTTCAAAGAAAACCTATGAATTTTTCAGCATTTTATTCAATATCAAACCCTAGAAAGAAAACTATTTACAGATGAAAAAAGAAGAAAAGAAAATGGCGCAGGGGAAGTGACTAACGGATATAGTGCATGTCGGGTTAAGTTAACCAAGAAACTGAAGGTGTAGGAAAAAGAAAAGAAAGAGAAAAGGAAGAAAAGAGAAAAAAGGGAAAGGAATAAAGAAAATATTAAGAAAACACAATTCGTAGGACTATATTAATCAAGTATAATTGATTATATTTCAACTAATTAGAAGATGACACCTGTATTGTTATAACCATTTATAGTGTTTTTTTCCTCTCACGCGCTCTCAAGAAATTGGTTACACTTTCTTTGCCACATCACCTTTTAGGAGGATATTAGTTCCACTTCAAACAAGATTAGGGAGCTTTAGGTCGCAAGTAAAGTTTAAGTGTGTAAATAACTTTTTTGGACAACCACATTATGACTTTTCCCAACAAACAATTATATAAATTAAGGAATATATTATTTAAGTATATTGAATTATGTATCCATAAAGTTAAGTTTTTGGCCTAACTCACACCCCAAAAGCTAGCTCAAGAGGATTCTCCAAGGATTTTAAGTAGACCACCTATCGCACTAACCACCGATGTGGGAATTTTTTCATTCTTCACCCCAGTGTTGAACGTGTGGATTTTGATTTGGGGTAACATTGAGTGAGATTGATTTTGCTATGATACCACGTAAAGTTAAGTCTTGGGCCTAACTTATCTTCTCCTATCTTTCTTCGCTTCTTCCTCCTTGAATAAGTATTAAAGATACGTGCCTTATCAGTACACCCCTCTCGGAAAGACGACTTGTCCTCAAGGTGAAAATCGGGAAACTGTGCAACTAACAAAGATTTTTGGCGATATGGCTGAAGACGTAAAATAGAAGCATCACCAACATTAGAAGAAAGGTCTATGTGTTTATAATCTGCCTTCATAAGGTTCAACATAGCATCTCCAGTCAACATCTGTTCTTCAAGGTCTGATTGGAAAGATGTTGTCGTGAGTGTTTTCTGAGGAACACCTTGCAGTTTATAAGTTTTCTCATTCAATTGGAAGATTAGGAACATCTCGTTCCAATTGGCTTGTATGTTCAAGGATGCTAGCCATTGTATACCTAACACCATGTTTGCGCCACCAAAGGAAAAAAGGAAGAAATCGTGCTTTATGACCAAGTTAGAAACCTCTACTGACAGGCTATGACAAACTTTGTTGCATTTGATAATTTCATCATTGCCTATCTGGACACCAAAAGTAGGGATATATTGGACTGCCAACCCAAGTTTCGTGACAATTTCTTCTGCTACAAAATTATGCATCGAACCACTATCTACCAACATCAACACTTTATGGCAGCAAAGAGTGTCTTGAAGTTTTAAAGTTGAACCAGATTTTTTGAACAAAATTGCATGAAAAGAGATTTCCCCCAAATCAGTAGGGAGTATCTCTTCATTCTAATTACCGCCAAGACTTTGCACATCTTTTTCCTCTTGCATTAACTCCAAATGTGCAAAAGTCACAAGTTTGCAGCGATGACCAGGGGTAAACTTGTCTCCACAATGGTAGCATAAGCCTTTTTCTCGTCGAATTTGTTGTTCAGAATTTAGTGGGCGAGTGTTTGGAAGAGATGACTATTGAAAAGGGCGTGTAACTGGCTGGCAGGATGTTTGAAAATTATAGGATTCCCGAGCCGTTGGAGAGGAAGTCCCAATTGATGTAGGTCTTGATCCATAAGGCCAAACATGTACCTTACTAGACTGGTTTAGTCCTTGTTTTCCTTCATATCCTAAGGCCAAACTCATCGCCTTATACACAGACCGAGGCTTGTGAATCCTAACGTCCACACGAAGGTCTTCTTTGAGTCCGCTAAGGAAAACTCCAAGCAAACAATGTTCTGGCCAAGTTTGCACATGTGCTACTTGTTTTGCGAACTCCTGCCTATACTCAAACACTGATCCAGTCTGTTGGATACTACACAAATATTCATTTAGATTTTGAAACTCAGTGGGTCCGTAATTTTCTTGCATAACTTTCACCAACTCATCCCAGTAATAAATGGTTGTTTCACTGTTGATCCAAGCAAATAGATCCAATGCATCTCTCTCAAAATACATTGAAGTCACATCAACCTTGCAATCATAGGTGTTCGATAATTTTGAAAATACTTCTCTGCTTTCAAAATCCAACCTCGAGGATCTTCTCTCTCATACTTGGGAAGTTCCATCTTTGTGTAAAAACATCGATAAGTTTCTTAATGCCTCCAAGTGCTATCAACCTCGCCCTCTTCCATTAAAACTTTAGATTTTCCATGTTGATTTTGTTTGTTTTGTGCTTTTAATGCAGCTACATCAGCAGCAAGAGCGTCAATGGCTCCCAATTTTATTGCTATAGTGGTCAATTGTTGGTCGATCTGATCATGAATCGACATTATAGGTTCGTTGTGGAAAGCGTTGGTTCGTGTATTAACCATGGCAGATCTTACTGCTCTGATACCAATGATAGAAACCGAGGTTTTTTACTGGATAAAAGCAACAGAAAATACAAAGAGTCGCGAGTATCTTGTAGAACAATAGAAAATACAAAGAGATACAAGTATCTCGTATCTCTTAGAACAACCTCTTTTTGCATATAAAAGATATATTACCACCTGTCTACTCATTACTAGATCTCCTATTACATAATAGATAACTATAACTACTTTATAACTATTTAGGATAAGGATAGAAACTTCTAGTAACCATAAGGAACTGCTAAATAACTCTTAATAACTGTAAGTAACCGCTCCATGCTCCATGGGTGAAACCTCCAGGAATTTCAGAAGATGCAAATCATTATCTTCTCCTATCTTTCTTCGCTTTTTCCTCCTTGAATAAGTATTAAAGATACGTGCCTTATCAAAATGCTTTTTTTTAAAAACCATGGGATGTAACTTGTGACTTTTCCCTACAAACAATTATATTATATAATTAAGGAATATATAACTACTTCCTTCTCCATTATTTTGATATTTGATTTGATATGCTATACTTGAACTGAGGGTCTATCGAAATCCACCACTCTACCGTCATAAGGTAGGGTAAGACTGCATACACTATACCCTCATCATACCCCACTTATGAGATAACAATGTGTATGTTGTTATATTTTAAGGAATATATTAATTAAATTTCATTAATTATAAAACAACCAATTAGAAGATGACAAATGTATTGTTGGTACCGTATTGTTTCTCTTCTTCTCACGCACTTTCAGGAAATTGGTAACACTTTCTTTGCCACATCACCTTTTAGGGGATCTTAGTTCCACTTCAATCAAGAGTAGGGAGTATTAGGTCGCCTGTAGAGTTAAAGGTGTGTAAATGACTTTTTTGAACCACCACGGTTTCCCTTACAAATAATTATATAAATTAAGGACTATATAACTACTCCTTTCTCCATTATTTTCATACCTAATTTATTATGCTTTACTTGAATTGAGGATCTATCTTAAACAATTTTTACCTGAATCCCCGCACCCCCGTATCCATACCCAGATTCGTATCCCCAAACCATAAAATTTAGATCATAAAGGATCAAACCTCTAGATCAGCACCCGAGCTTGAGCAACTTAGCTATCTTTGGCACATCACCTTTTTGGGGTACTAGTTACACTTCAAGCAAGAGTAGGGAGTATTAGATCGCATGTGAAGTTAAGGTGTGTAAATAACTTTGTGGACAACCACGAGATGTAACTTATGACTTTTCCGTACAAACACTTACTCCCTCTTTCCTCAACATAATTACTCCATCCGTCTCAATTTATGTGGCACCATTAGACTTTACACAAATATTAAGAAAGAGAGAAAGACTTTTGAAATTTGTGACTTACCATTTGTGTGGCTATAAATCATTTTAATAAAGGTAAAGGGAAAGTTTTGAAGTTAAATTATTTCCAATTATAAAAACGTGACATGCGTTACGAATTGAACTAAAAAGGAAAGTATGTCACATAAATTGGGACAAAGGATGTTCTATTTAACTTAAGATTTGCAAGTCCATGAATATTAGGTTCCTCCATAATTATCAACAAATTATACTAGGGAAATGTTCATAAATGTCGATTGAAAGTCGTCGTTTGAAATGATTTGTCATTAGTTAATCAAGATCTTGAAAGGATGGTAACCCACCAAGGGATAACAATTTTCCTTGCCAACCGTTAACCCTTTTTAATGAACTCAATTGCCATATATGTGAAGTAGTTCTAATCTTTTTCCTACCAAAATAGGACACAATCCTAAATAGTTGAAGGGTAGAGGCCTTCAGTCATAACACTAAGACGGTAGCTTCTCTACACTTGCTTTTTAAATAAGCGTGATGACCAACTGTGTCAATCAATAGTTTCTCTCATACTAAGTTGAAAATGAAAATGAAAATGAAAATTGCCACCTTGGAACTTAGCTCTGAAAATGAATTCTCGATTGACCTACAGTGGAAGTTATAGCTGCAAAATCCTAATTGTATAGGTACAACCCTGAAGCTCCCTCTCTCATATTGATGAAAGTGCTACACACCTTTTAATAGATCAAACTTCCCCATTGAAAGAATTCAAAAAAGATACACATCCGAAATAGTTGAAGGCAGGGTTTGTGAAAGGCGAGCACCTTATCACCTTTGGCGAAAGGCGAAGCGAGGCCTTGTCGCCTATTACTAGCGAGGAGAGGCGATCTCAAAAAGGAGAGAATAGGGGAGCGGCGACGTGGCAAGGCAAGGCGACAAGAAGCACCACCTTTTTTTTTCAAAACATGCCTAATTTAATAATTAAAAGGCAATATTAGGGTTTATTTGGTGTTTTGGACAAACACGACTCTCTTTTCCCTTTTTTTCTCTCATTAAGCTTCGCGACCTTAAATTTGCAATCGCGATCTTCAGCTTCTCTCTTCCATCTCTTTCTTCGTCAGTCCTCTGCTTCGCGACCTCATCAAGTATGTTTTCAACAATTTTTGTTCTTCTTCTTCTCCTCTTCTTCTTTCATGCCCTGTTTTTTATTTCTGTCAGCACTCAGCAGTATGCAGTCTCCGTTTTTTAGAGTCCTAGTATTACTTGTTAATTGTCTTATGAATTATTGAGTCATTCAAGTTCTAGTCTTTTAGTATCTACTTTCTACTATTAGTTTTGAATTGATATATTTGTTAATATGTTATTGCTATTGAGATATTGGATATGTATATATACAATTAAATATTTAAAGTTTCTGGTATTAATTGACGCCTCAATTCAAAAAGGCGAACGCCTCGCGGCAAAGCAGACCCTTGTCACCTTTTGCCGTCCAAAACACAGGTTGAAGGGAACTTTTTCTGTTTAAAATCTAAATAGCTGGAATTTCCCTTTACTTTCCTTTGAGGTTGTTTTCTGATCCACCAAAAAAAAAAGTGCTAAACAGCTTTTAGACATCATGAGTTGTTCCTTATCATCTTCAAAGAATTTGATTTTTTCCCATTGATGACGGTCACCAATAATCTGACAGTCTAATGCAACGCATTCCCCAAAATTGGCCATATTTTTCCACTATCGTTGTAGAAAATTATAAAAACCCAAACAGTAATTTTCTTCTTCTTTTTCATTCATTCATACTGCTATAGCTTAGTCCATGAAGCAATATCATTCATACAATCACATCAATATACCAATGTCAATAAATCAATACACAAAAGATTTGTCATTCTCGTCTCAGTCTCTCTCGTATAAGTTATGTCATCTACCCTGAATTACAACCAGTAGAAGCCCGAGATTGCAGAGCTTTCGTATCTCCAGAAAATTTACATTTAAATTTTAAATTCTTAATAAGGCCGAATGCAGCATAAGCAGCAGTCCCCAAAATACCATTCACTTATTCAATGAAACAATCAAAGTCAAAGGAGAATGATGACACTATTCTTGGTAACACTTCCCACATTTTAACAAAGCAAAATCTGCTGCAAGAGCACCACAAAAGGTATAGGAAGCTGTCAATAATAAATTTCGGATATTTAATTCCAGAACAGAAAAGTCTAACCTAATGCACATCCACATTAGCCCCGTGTTAACAAATAAAATTGCACTTCATAAGAAAGGCGCCAAAGCAAAACCAATAAATTAATAATCTTTTTTTTTTTTTATGACAAGGGAAACCTGCAGCCACTACCTTTGGGTGCGCACAGGGTAAAACCTCCGCTCCTATGCAATAGCTCGCAAACCACATAAATTAATAATCTTAAAAGCAATAATTAAGGTAAACCTGATGCCATCACATTGGCTGTGCACCCAGCGCTCGCAAATGTCACAGCAAACCATAGGAGTTGTTTCAGAATCTCTATAAACCTATAGTATAAAAAAAAGATTAATTGCATTCCCCATAGACCTATGGGAAGAAAAACAATTGGTTTCTTTGGAAAGGCAATGAAAGCCAAAGGCATACAGTAATTATAGACGACAAATTAGAAACTTCACATTGATAAACCACCATACTACAGAGAACCTCATTGTAAGATTAAACAAAGAGAAGCTCAAATAATAATAACGGCCAAAATATCTAACCTTCAAACAAACTTGACAGTACTTTCCCTTCACAAATAATCTTCCACAAGCATCACAACAAGTGTATCCTAAATACCACCTGCCATAGATCAAGATATCAATTGTTCAGAGGCAATAGGATATGCAAGGCCTTTAATGATTTTCATAGGATATGCAATGCCTTCAAATGATTTTCATAAATCACATGCAGCACACAACATTATTGGATGCCACTATTGCAATAATTTGTACTTTAAAATCTCTGTAAGATATTAGTGCAGAAAATTAACTGTGCTACGGGAAAGCCCAAAACTAGAGAACTTATTTAAATTGCTTTCATAGCCCTTATCACAATATATAACATAAATAGAACTCCTACATGATGTTCCTCTGTGAAGATACAGAGAAAAGGACATAGAGAAGTACATGAATAAGCAGTTTAACTAAAATGGAGTTAATTAGACTGTTCAATTAATATTTACAGCAAAACTTGAATCCAAGAGAATGTCCACAAGCTGCTCATGGCCCCATACTACATACCTCACGCTCAGTCCATTTCCTGGAACATTAGAACAACAGCTGTGACACTTTGTGTGTTTGGGGCACAAATAAGGCCCACTACTAACTTTCTGCACATCCCAAAAACAATGAGTACAATCTAGTTTTACTATTATACAGAACTGGAAGAGTAAGACACAATAATCCACCTTGAGTGGAGGCTGCATACAGTAACAGTGATAAGCTGCATCACACCTTTTGCAATACATGAACTTGTTTGGATCTCCAGTTGTTTGACAGCCCTACACCAAAAAGGGAGCATACATACAGTAAGCATATATGAACAATATAGTATGCATAAGAACATGAGTTGAACAATAACATAGACATCGAATAGCTAAAAATGCAATAATCACTAGAGTATGATGCAGAACGGATGTCCGATTATCAAACAGAAAAGTTGCTTTAGGCAAAAGATTATAACAAACAAAAAGCGGCCAATAGTTTCATTTATAGTCCTACTCGATAGGGACACTTCCAATAGTTTTTTTGAAAGATATTTCATACTTGAAGAGATCTTTACAAGTTAATATGTTTGATAATCATTATTTGAGTAGAAACTGCGCTTCATGTGATGCTGCCTCAAATAGATTAGCAACCTACCTTGCAATTTAACAGGAGCATATAAAAAACCATTATCAGTAACATCCCTGACCATGAGCCACTCAAATAGAAAAGAAAGAAAATAGGTTAAACTCCATTCACTTGTGTATATCTCATCAGCACATAAACTCTAGTCTTTGTGAGAGCAAATCTAGTCCTTATATACTGTATTGGCATCTTCCACTCTCTACCACCCCTTCCCTCCAAACCATCACAAAATTTCCCACATCCTGATAAAATACCACTATACCCAACCAATAAACTCATTTCCTGCCCATGCAACACATGCAACACCTTCAATCCAGTTCTTGCAGTCACTCGGACAGTAAAATTAACAATTCCACGAGCACCATCCTTTGACACCTTCTACCACTTCTTCCTTCAATATGTCAAAAACCCTTCACATCCCCAAATCCAGTTTCAATGCAAGCTAGTGATGCCAAGTTAGGGGTTATTGCTGCACCTATGATGTACACGCTTTGGAAAAACTTGGTAAAGACAAGATGAGAGATTTTTTTTTCAACGAAGCACGGAAATTTATTTGAAAACTTCAAAATATGGAAAAGATAGGGATAAGGGAGCAAAAAGAGTGGGTTTTTTTTTTTTTTTGGATATATGGGTACTAGGATTACTCTCTACAATTAAGTGTTGTTTGACATGTTTGTCTTTTTATTTCAAATTTTTAACGCTTCTACTTTTACTATTGCTTTTCTGTATTCTTTTAATCTAGTAAACATATTTTCATTCATAAACATGGCCAAGTTTGCCATATAAAAGGAATATATCAAAAGATAAAAAATCTACAAAAGGATATGATTCTCTACAAACTCAACCCACTCATCTACTCCCTCTGTCCTAGTTTATATGATTTACTTTCCTTTTTAATCAGTCCCAAAAAGAATGACACGTTTCTATATTAAGTAACAATATAACTTTAAAATGTTTATTTTACCCTTAATGAAATGATTTAAGTCACACAAATATCTATTACTTATTTTAGACCACAATTTTCAAAATTATTCCTTTCTTTATTAAACTCCGGATCGAGTCAAACTAAATAATATAAAATGGAACGGAGGAAGTAAAAAACAAGGGACTTTTTGTTCAAACCAAAAGAAAATAAGGGAACTCAAACTACTCCTTGATGGAGAGAAACTCAACTCTACACCTTCAAAAGATCTCTCACTTCTCTCTCTCTCCAGAGTACCCACATTAAAGCAAGTGGAACCACGTTCTAAGACCTTCGTCTTCTTTTCCTTCTCCGCTCTTCCAACTGAACATCAAATCTTTCACAGTTTTTGCCAATGCTCACGGAGTGCCTAACCATCCAACATTTATCCCACCATAGCCTCATGGTTAGGCCGCAATGTAAGAGAAGATGATCCACATCTTCACCTGCCTCCTTATATATGTAACACTAACTAACGAAGACAACGCACACCTTCCTCAGCCCCCTTGAGATCCATATTCCATAACATGGAAAAGTCATATCCTCCCTAACCAATAGTTTCTTATAAAAAGACCTCACAGAGAACATTCCATTATTTCCAAACCCCACTTCCAAACATTGAAATAATCAATTGAATTGACTTTTCTATGTAGTAAGGCTAAGATTATGTATTTCCTTAAAATTTCTTTTTCTTTTCTTCTTAAAAGATGACACTTTCTTTCTATGCAAGTCCCCATCTTAAACTACTGCTGATTTTGAGCTTCTTTTTGCTTCTCTTTCAACTCTATGTATAGTTACAAAAGCTATTTAATATGAAATTAAATGCTGCAAACTAATTACTTTTACAATCAATTTATTGAGAATCTAAAACCAATGTTGCTATTGACCATCATTATTTTGTGACCTCGTTGAAATTTATTTTCATTCTATTTCATTTTACGTATAGAATCTACATATTGTCATTATTGTATAATAGGTACTGAAAATAATAATGCTAATCGCTACTTGATCATACAAGTACTAGATTCATATATTTAGGTAATTTCATATGTTTGATGAATCATACGCTTCTTATTGCTTTTGATTAAAACTTTAAAGACCTTATTGTTTTTTTTTGCATTTTCAAAGTACTGCTCAAATCCTACCAATATTCCAACCTACAAGGCTATTTTTCTATGCCCCCAAGAAACCTCCATAGTAAACCTAGATGCAAGTCTCGTGGTGCCACGGAGAGAGTAACAAAGGAAGGGATAAAGGTTAACGGCTAGTTGGTTATAACCTTCTGTTTGATTTGCTTTGGTTAACCATTGGTTAGATAGATTAAACTACCTCATTCCAACAATCTGAAGGTTTAATGTGAAACAAAAACTAAAATCAAAGTCTTCCTCAAACAAAAAAAAAATTAAAGTCACCAAAGAACACAAGGACAAAAGCATAAAAGACTGAAAAAGCAAGCTGGAGAAACAGAGAAGGAAACAAAAACCAAGAAGAAAACCTAATCTGATTCAGTAACACCTTGTAAACTTAACATGACAAAATTTACACCATAAAAAGAAAAAACATAAAACTGATGGAACTATAGTGACTTATTTCACATTAAATAACTTCTTTTCAAAACTGTGGTGCCTTGACCAGCTTGTGAGCACTTCGACGCCTTCCACCATAACTCTGTTACCAAGCCAAGAAAACACCGTCATTTAAAAACTTCTTACAACCAGGGATCGGGGTTTCAACATGGGTTTATCATTATAAGCTATTATTGCTTGCAGCTTATTTGGCTTTGACATGGTGCATATTAGAGTTGGGTCCACTTGATCTAGTGGAAAGTAGTCTTCCCTATTTCTTACAGGACAAAAGGTAGTTGATATGGCAAGTGTATGATTAGTGACTAATGGGTTTGCGTATAAGTGGGGCCATGGGTCAAATTCTACCTGTTTTTCCATCTCCTTTGACTATCGTACACCATAAGCATACGGAGAGATCCATTTAAAAGCATCGACTTAAAAGCAATATCTTTGTTTCTGAATTGACTGTCCATGCAGACACAAAGAAGTTGAAAACACCTATTTCTATAGTTAAGACAGCGACCTTAGTCAGGATCCCTTTTTTTTTTATCAGTGTACCTTGCCAAGATTTGTGTGTTAGAACTGACATGGATGACCTCTCATAGGGTTAGGCAACAGGTTAGAACCTAAAATTCGTAAATATGAAAACCTCAGGGTTTTACATAAGGCTAGCAAAGAAAATTAGGACATCAGTTGATATCTCATATAAATTTAATTTTTCCATTTTGTTAGGTAATAAAAGTCAATGTTTTGTCGAATTAGCTTTGACCTTCTTATTGACATTAAAGGAAGAAAAAAAACTCATGGTACAATTGCCACATGATGGGAAGTTATTAGAAAGCAAAACCAAATATATTCCATTATTTTATTGAAAAGAATCAAAAGTTTTACCTCACAAACCCGGCAAGAGGGACATGTCCATGAACTCCAATGGAAGAGATCTATAGGAAGGGGCATATTAGCAAAAGTATAACACTAAAAACTGACAAATCTTGTGGCCTATAAGAGTACCTCTATGTTGACCCCAAGTTTTCAGGCAGCTTAGGTGATACTTCTTCCCACAACAATTGCATGACATCATCTTCCTTGCTCTTTCACCTCCTTCAGTTTCACTGGAAAAGCATAGCCTACACAACACTTTGACATTTGATAGACCTTGTTCTTCTCCACCAACATCTTTCATGGAGCCCTGAGGGGAGATAATTATTTGAAAATAAAAAGATTGGATACTTTCGTGTAACAATTTAAAACAGTAGTTCCTAACCTCCACATCTCCAGACTGAAACCCTCGAGCGAAATCCTCACCCACACTAGATGCAGCAGCAGCAGCTTTCTTCTGCAAAGCAACACGCTTAGTCTGAGCTGAAGCAGTAGAAGCTGCCTCCTCACCATCCCCATTACCTACAGGCACTCGTGGGGGCGATGCAACGATGAGCTTGGGCACCTTAACCTGACATGTGGCAGGTTGTTTGGCCTTAAGACCCCATGGATCCTTGAGAAACTCCTCAAGCCTAGTCACATCTCCCAAGAACCCATTTTTATCCTTTGGGAACCCATCTGGGCAGAAGCAGATCTTTCGACTGCACCAATAAAGGCAAAAACACTCAACTGGGTCAGAAATTCCAAAGCAAACAACAAAACACAAAACGGAGAAAGCAATGTCACGTCCATCCATAAAGAGGGAGATAGCAGATCCTCCAGCTATACCAAAAAATAGCCAAATCCCACACCCAAAAACGCTGGATGGTTTATAAAAATAACCCTAGTAAACAACTTCAAACCATAAGACAAAAAACCCATTTGGCATCCTTGGTCTAGATAAGAGAGAGTAGATAGAAGAGTGATAATAAAAAGAAAAAGAGAGAAAATAAACAAAACTATAAACAAATAATACAAAAATAAAAGAATGTAGTACCAGGTAAATGGGCACGCTGTGTGAAAGGCCATACACGAGATAAAGATCTTGGTGTACGAGGAATTTTTGAAGAGTTCAAATTGGGAAAAGCCCTTTTGGGGGAAAAGAGAGAGAGAGAAAGAGAGGAAGTTGAGGGGGAGTTACTTGTGATTGTGATGTTTGTGGGTGTTTGGGGGTGTTTGGGGTTACACAAGTTTGTTTATAAGGTGAGGCAAAATTCACATTTGGCCCATTGAAGTTTTCAAAATGTTTATAGAATCCATGATTGTTTGTATCGAAGTGAAAAAAGTCAAAAATTCAAAAAAGGAAAAAGTTTTATTAGGAGAAGAGAAACTTCCAGAAAAATACATATGGTCATTGTGAGTACATTTTCATGATTTATTTTGACCATAAAATTTGATCAGATTTAGAAAATCTGGTTTTTAAATATTTTCAAGTTCCCACCAATTTTTGGGCTTTTTGGGACATGGCTAATACTACGAGTCAAGTGGTCATGAATTTGCTTCTAGTTCATAGTTACAAGTTCTTGTCAGCTGTCTAAGATCTACTATAAAGTTCAAGCAGTTACAAGGTCAGCAAAGTCCTGCTTGGAAATATATTATAAAGAAACTAAAGGAGCTCAATTTTGATGATTTCCTTGAAGCAAGGCTGGGACATAAAAATGGAGTTGTAACATACAAGACAAAAGGAAGGAACAAGTAAAAATCAAGAGATTGATCATTGAAGAATTGATTTTTGATGCTCATTTCCTGAGAGGAAGGGAAAGTTTGAATACCTTACATAGTTCATAGTATGAATCATGGTCATCAAGTCCGATTCTGCATTTGACACTCACGGGAACATTTGTATTTGCAGCAAGTACGCACATGGCCTCAGCAACAAACTTTCCTTGTAGAAGTTGTGAATATATCAGAGCAAGTATATAGATAAATAATATATTTGATGTATCAAGCAAATAAATCTGAACCTTTGGATCAAGCATGAGGCACACACCAAAACACCCATATCATGCTACTCAGGGGCTAGAGAAAAATATCAGTTTTTTCAGACCCAAAACTGATACTTCTTTTTTTTTTTTATCAATTTCAAAAAAAAAAAAAAAGTTATCAGTTTTGGGTCTGAATAAAAGCTAGAAACTCATATTTTTAGATAGGAAAAGCAGAACGGACTTAAAATTAGTTTCATCAAAGCCATATGAAGTTGCCAGTTGTGTCGCTTTGGCCAAGATCTCCAAATTATTTTCCCTAATTTGAAGCACTGTAGGATATTGCTCAGGGACATATGCCTAGAATCTATCCCGGTATATTAGAAAAACCACATGAATGTCAGATCTCACTGCACGATACAAACACACAAGCATTGGACAGTGACAAACTGCTCTTAAAGGTTCAAGCCGCAAGCGCAATAACAAATCAGTACAAGAAAGTTCCTCTACGAGATTTTATTGTTTTCTTCTTTTTACTTTTGATGACCGTGGTGTCCGTACTAGCTTTCGCGGACCTCGACTAATTCAATGAGAACTCTGCCACCTATCACCAGCAACAGGTAACTCTATCCACCAAGGCTAGGACAGATGGGAAGGATCACCTAATTTTTCTTGTCTCCACTGTGTTTTGAACAAGATAGCTCAGGGTTCTCAACCACTTCTTCGACCACTAGGTCACACCCTTGGGTGCAGTTCTTTTTGCAGATCTGCCCATGTTACAATAATATATCCCCTTCTTTGCTAAGTATTTTACACCAACGAAATAAATATTCTTTTTCTAGGAAACCATCTAACAGGGACAAGGGTCTTAGTTTAGGGAAATGAAAATAACCAACCAATTTGGTTAACTTGACCCTTGAAAGACAACCCAAAGAGTCTATAGTAATTGATATAAAAACAGTACGATTCATCGGTTTAGAAAATCAAATACAAGTGTCAGGTGCCATCTATAGAAGTGTTAACTGTAAGCTTCTCTTTGTAGAAGGTCAGTTTAGATCATGTAGAAAGTAGGCATATAACCACAGAGACATACATCCACTATATCCTTTTATCATGAAAATTGGGGCTGGCAGCAAGAGGATCAAGATTAAAGAAAGTAGCATTTTCCATCGCATGATTTAAAACAAATGGGAAAAATAAAATCATAGGATATTTTGATTTATGCACATTCAGTGAAAAAATCAACTGGTACAGTTGATTTAAATTATCATATATGAGTTTAAATCTTCTGCAATTGTGAGCCTTTATATACTATATAGCACAGTAAATGTTGATTTCTTTCTCATTTCGTTTTGTCTAGAATAAGAACAAAGGATTAACTCGCATGATTCTCTTCTTTTTGCTTAGCTCTACTTATCAGTAAGAAACAAAAAGGTATTTTATAGTTGGGTATAAAAGCACTAGAGTCTTATTCCATGCAGCAGAACTTTACCAAATTGCCACACTGGTAGACAATTGTTTCGTCAGCAAGCATTTCTGGGTAGAGCCACGTCTTCCTTGAGATGAGACGGGCCAAAGTTCTGTAATGGTTATCAGTCCATTTCATCATGGGAGCAACACTGTTTAAATACAAAGGCTTATAAATATTAGGGAGCATTTTTTATTATTCTTGTAAGTAAAAAAATAATATGGAGCTTATTAACTATGTAACGAGAGAAAATTAGACTTGAATATATGCACGCACCTGAACCAAGGAGGAGAATAGTGCTCTGCTCCCATTAGAGAAGTAGAGTGGAGTTTTGATGGTTAGCACAAGAAGTCTGATGACAATCTGCCACGGGTTCTGAGAATAACAGAATGAAAAGGAGTTAAAGAAGCAATCACACAATGTCCCGTTGATATCTTCTTCCCTCTAAGTCCAGCGTAGGCTGCTCTTTTATGAACCTACCCATTGGATAGGAATTGGCATCACACAAGAGGACATGCTGTATACCCCACAGAGGCACTTTGAAACATTTTACCAAAATAGATAATTAACTGAACCAATAAAGACCTAAAGCCACCTAGCTCAATATAGAAACAATAAAAAAAAAATACTTGGGTCATTAGATGAAGGATGAACTGCCAGGAACTGGAAAGTTAAAACACTGGCTCAACTAACTGAACAATTTTAATAATTTTACAGATGCTGTAGGTATTGCCTAGAAGACTGGAAAATCCACCCTCACAAGTTAGAAAGAAGAGAAGCTCCAAAGACAAATGAAAAACATTTGAAGTACATTTCCAGCATTTATCTTGTGGGTAAGAAAAAAGTTCTAGACGCTTAGAAGAGAATGATGCACTTCAACGTTTAAAATACAAATGTTTAAACTCATTAGCTTTTCGGGGAAATCTGAAAAAACTAAATTGATATAGATGCTATGATGGATTTCCTTGGCTTGGGTACGGATATGAGAGAGATTAGATCATTTATAGCCTTCTTGATAACCAGGACTCACCTGGTGTTGTTTTAGCTAATCAATATTATTATCAATCAACAAGGAACTACATCTCAACCCTAAGCTTGTCAAGGTTAGCAATTTGAATCCTCAATGATAATAAAATACTGTTTATAAGCAAATTATTGACATTCTTTCTATTTTAACAATCCCAAAAAAATTTCACAATATTCCACTAGTCATATACAGTTATCCCATTTAAAGTGACGTCATTGAACTGGAAATGGAGTTCATTAATTATGGTAACTAATTAAATAGTGTAGATATGAGAATATTAAAACATGCTATAATTAGATAGTGTAGATCACAGAATATTTAAATCAAAACCAAGTTTAAAATTTGAATGTTAAACGTTCTACAACTCATGCTCATTCAGATAATGATAATGGAGATGGGATAGTTCACGAATTGCTAGAAAAAGAGAAAAAGAACCCATAAAAATTCAATCTTTTAAAGTTTTCTCCATATAATCTACCCTTTCCAGCTTCCACCAAAATAAAATAGCTCTTAAATAACTTCTCCTATTTTTTCCATTGCTTAATATCTTAATCATATTCCAAATATCCAAAATCTCAGAACCACCCAATTCCTACACTTGAATACTTCCTTCCCACGTTTAGCTCTTCCCTTCTAACAGGAATTGATTGCGAACCGGAAAATTAATTAATCATGGGGTTAAAAAAAGAACCAGAATAAACAGAAATTAGGGAACTCAAACAAGAAAAACTAAAATATATAAATAAGACAAAAAGGAAAAGCACAAAAACAATACTAATAACTAAGAATAATGAAAATTATAAGACCCAATATATGTACAAAGAGGAAAATAGGATTTAGGTAACTCAAGAACGAACAAGAAAAACTAATATAAAATAAAAAAGGGAGAAGCACAAAATTAATACAATAACTAAGAAGAATGAAGAATATAAAACCCAGTATATGTACAAAGAGGAAAATAAGATTTAGGGTTTTACATGGAAACAGAGAGATGATGCTTCAGCTACTTCTGAGGTGAATCCAGTGGCAGTTGGAGAAGACAAACCGATTAAATAGTCTCTCTCTAAATATATATTTTATTAATTTTTTCTACTTTCTTTTTCTGAATTAATGGAATAAATTTCTAAACATGAATATATTACCCAGATATATTTTTTTATGTCGAAATACATCTTGACGCAATAGATATGGTAGATATCATCTAAGATAATAAGTTAATAATAAGGTATCAAATCAAATGCGAGTTAAAGCAAAGATGTTTCTCTTTCGTTATTTTGATGGAATTTGAAAATAAAATATTTCGTTGCTAAAAGATCTTTTTATTATTGAATAATTGAAAAGATACATATGATCATCTCAAGATGATTATCCTTACATAAGCATTTTTTTGATAGGATGAATTTAAAGATAAAAAATTTTAGATCTATTTATGAGTATTTTCTCTTTGTTTAAATTATTTCACAGTTGATATTTGTGATAGGAATATCACTAATGATATCTTGGATGAACCTTAGTCAACACTGAAGTTGTTCCGAATTTTTAAAAAGACATTTTAACTTTGCGAGCGTTCTATTACCTCATAAAAGTATTGAATATCTTTGTAAAAGGACCATTTTAACCCATTTTCTCACTATGTTTATGAAACACGCAGATGGCACGCATGAATGTCTATTTTTGTTGCCAAAAACCAATTAAAAAGTGTCACGTTTCAATTGTTTTCTCTATTAATTATATACTTCATTTAAATGCATCATCTTCCCCAAAATGATAACTAATTGGCTGGTGGCTGCACTTTTGGGTATAATCTTCCTTTGGAGACATGTTGCAGGCACTCTCTAGGCTGCTTCTGGTTCTGTTCTAAATTTTGGGCTCTTGACGAGTCGACGGTATGGAAGAGATTACTAAACCAAGAGCGACTTGTTTCTACGATAAGATCAGATCCTAATATGTCATCTTCTCATGCACAGTCAATCTTTTATATAGTGACGTTCTGCATTGTCTTAAGTAATTTTCTTAGCTAATAGCTCAAATGGAGAAAATATAATTGATTTGGATACTCTTCATCCTTAAAATTCTTATATGCATTTTACGTAAGAAAAGTAAACCTTCAATTCCTTGTTTACTTAGCTAGTCCTCCAAGAATTTTGACCAACAAACGTCGAAATTGAAGCAATGATCTTCAACAATCGCTCTGGTTGAAGAAAACGAAGAGACAAACTAAGAAATGAAAAAAAAAGAGTTTTCTCTTTTTGAAACGATTTGGGTTAGTTTAATTTAAATTAAATTAATTAAAAGTGTGAGAATCACGTGCATGCTCACAGTTGAGAAAATGGGTCAAAATGGTCTTTTTACAAAGATATTTAATACTTTTGTGGGAGAATATGACGCCCGCAAAGTTAAGGTGTTTTTTTGAAAATCTAAGACAACTTCAGTGGTGTGTTTATGTTTTTGCTCTATTTTAAAATAAATTATTTGAATAGTTAGGACTATAATATCATATTTGGAAAATTGCATAGTAATATTACTTTGTTTTTTAGGATTATAATTGGAGTTGTCAATATGGGCTAGCCAACTCCATCCGAGCTAATTCATACAGGCTTTGAAATTTGACAGGTCAGGCCGAGCTAGCCCATTTTTGGTGTGGGCTAGAAAATGGTCGGTCCAACCCACAAGTACATGGGCTACGGGCTTTATCGGGCCAACCCTCTTTTCTTAAAAGTACTATTTTTATATTTTTTTAAATTAAATTATAATTTAAAAACATTATCATAAATATCGACAAGACAATATTATATGGTGTTAGTGTTACTACTTGTTAATCAAATCCACAAATAAAATTATTTTTATAATATTTATTAAGTTTGACTTCAAGTAAAAACATAAATAGCTAAATAGAAATATTAACCTAATTGTTTTCCAATGATTATAATAAAACACAAAATCTATGACAATATTTTGTAGGCTAGCCTATGTAGTGATTCCCTAGAAATTTTAGGAAGTTTTTATTTTATGTAGTACATATTTTATAAAAATAATTTGTATTTAAATTGTAATATTTCAAACTTTAAACAGATTTTGAGTTTAGACTCTTGTTATTTTTAATACCTTATTTTATTTTTATTTTTTAATTAGTTTTTATTTGGCCCACGAGACGGGCCAATCCATATTTCTCAAGCTCCACAAATCGGTATGCTTATTCAAGTCGGGCTAAAAAACTCTTTTCTTATATAGGCACCAAAAATCGGAGTCCGGCCCTATCAAATCACGGGTTAGGCTAAGCCAACCTAACAGGCCTAGACCATATTGATGACTCTAATTATAATATCATCTAATTATTTCTATTTTCCTCAAAATACATTTGACACAATAAAAACATGTTTCTCTTTATTAATGTATGTCATCCGGTGTCCGTTATTCACACTGAAGTTCGACTAATCTGAATTGTATCTGATAAGGCTCATCCGATGGTAGCGTTCCCTACAAAGGATTTTTCTTCTTTTAAAATTAATTACTAGAAAAAAAACTACAGCGAAATTCGTTGATTTTGATCTAAGATATTTGTGAAAAACGTCAATTAATATTAGATAGTAATTTATATTTGCTTAATCAATTATCAAATTATGACCAAGAGACATATCTTTCTATACTTTACAATTAGTAATTTAGTATCATTTAAATAGATAAATAATTTGATATATTTATCACGGGAGACTTTAATCAAGTGCTTCAATTTTTATGTTAATAAATTATAAATTAGAATAAATGATAGAGAACAAGTTCTTAAGACTCTTGGAATTAAATGTGTTACAGACATTACATGAGATAAGTTTTTGTACATACTTGCTGAATAGTTCGATAAATATAAATTACTTAGTAAACAAGAACTAGAGGACTATGACTATCCAAGAACTAGAAGAATTTTTAAGAACTTGTTCTCTATCATTTATTCTAATTTATAATAATATATCTTAAGATATTGTTTAATATTTAAATGGTTCGACTTTTGAAAAGTGAAACGTGATATGTATTATAAGACAAATAGATTATAACTATCCAAGAACTAGAGGAATTCATATTGGATTTTGCTCGGAAACCTGGGTAGAAAAACTTGGCTTATTTATAATTATCTTTTATCTGGTATGAGTGATATAAAAGAGCTAAAAAATTATAATTTAGAAAAAAATGAACAATGTGACATGTCATTCCATTGTGAGAGAGAATGATGTTTTTTATTGTGTCCAATATATTTTGAGGAAAATAGAAATAGTTGGGTGGTATTATAGTTCTAAAATGATAATCGCTTACTTAAATAACATTATTCACCATT